CAAATGAAAGTGAAACACGTTATATTAATTTTAGATTCGAAGAGTCATAATGTAACCTGTGATATGCATTAGTTTCCAGTTACGTGCCGTCATCATCATCATCATCATCATCATCATCATCATTGATCTATTTGTTCCAAGACAAAATACATTTTTTTATAAAAAAATCTTTTAACTATTCTGCAAATGGAATAATTTAAGATTCACAATAAGAAAATGTGGTAATGTAAAATTGTTCAAGAAACATTGTTATTGCTGTTTTCTTGAAAATTCAATGAAGTTAAATAACTTTTCCTTGATGGTTAAAATATAAAAACTTTATTCATTGTTGCCATTTAAATTTGAAATGATTGATTTGTATAGATATATATTGTATTTTGATGGATAAATGTTAACTGTATATATGAATTTCATTTGAGGGCTTCAATGAAAATTAGACTAGTTATAGTTGAGTTACCCTCTTTAAATAAATAATGTATTATTATTATTTTTATTATCGTCATCGTCGTCGTCGTCGTCGTCCTCCTCCTCCTCTTCCACATCCTCCTCCCCTTCTCCTCTTCCTCCTCCTCCTCCTTCTCATCATCATGTACGCAAATATGAATTTAACGCGTGAAACAAAATCGTGTTACATGTATTATCATGCGATAAGTTATTACTAAAGATGATTTCGGAATGCCAACCATAGTAACTAAAGGCAACAGTAGTATACCGCTTTTCAAAAGTCATAAATCGATTAAGAGAGAGCAAATCCGGGTTAAAAACTAAAACCGAGGGAAACACATCAACTAACAATTTAATGAACAGCAATGACAGCATATCTTCATAGTTTGACTACAGTCTGTGAAGCCAAAACTTTAAGAATGTAATCAAATAACTAATTACATGATTGTAGAAGTAGTTTATGTGTAATTGCCATATAGGATCCAATGTTGGCATTCTATGAGGATGTCATTTTCAATTTCAAATCGGCATGAGAGTTATATACATTTTACATCTGTTCTGAGAGTTCTATGAAATTACTTCTCTCAAGTGAGAAACATTTGAATCCAACGGAAAAATATAAGTAGGAGTTTCTTAGTCTGTATCAAACTTGATCGGATAGCACAACTATAATATTGTTGGAAATAAAAAAATAATACAACGTTGTGACAAATAAGCAACCAAACGCAGTTCTTTCAATTACCGGTTTTACTTAAATCAGGCCACCGATAACGTTTAATTGTGGAAATAAGCAAACAACCACAGCACTCCAAATAACATGTTTATTTTTCAAACGAAGCCACCAACCACGTAATGTTGTGATGACTAAGCTAACAATCTCTACACTTGAAATAACTGGTTTATTTTGACTGAGTGTGATTTGGCATGTCGGTTGCATCCGGCTGTCTCCGTTTGGAGTTCACTCGATACCTTCAGGTTCTGTTTCTCAAGTTGATATGTGTTCTAAAATGGTTAACGAAATTTGCAAATATCACGTTTGGTTGAATTATCTATTACTTTTTAATGTTGTATAAAAGCACTAGTCAATGTGAGAAATGCAGATACACTTTTCATTCGAGTGAGTGTTGATTTTACTGTCGAGAGTGGAAAGATATTGTAGCTCCTGATTAGACATATTGCGAATTTCCCCCCATATTTGTTTTAGAGACATATTCCGCATTTGTGTGTTAAACCCCGTGACTGGATAAGACAAAAAGAACGGTACATCCAAACAAAGCTACTACTATCGGATCGTTATAATGAATAATGGTATCACATCATTTTTTTCAGTAATTGCAACAATGTTGAGTTTGAGATCACCCTCACTGTCATATACCTTTGTTTTTTTTTATATACAATACATTTAAAGCATCATCTTTGAGGGATGCTACTACAAGTCATAATCATTGTCAGCAAACACCTTAAGAAATTGTCTCGTAAATATTTCGTTCATGATCCCTGCGTTCTCTACTAATCAAGATCTAAAATGGGGAGAGTGAGATCTTAGAAAACAAGGTCAACCCGGCAACATAGTAGGATGTCTGTTCCAGTCAAACTCCGAAACAGTGATAACGTCCTCCTCGCTACGCTACATGGACTTTAAAGTGACAGTTTAGCAAAGCAACGTCACCGCTGTTTCTGAGTTTGTGTCCCAATGTGCTAGATCGATCTGCGCTTGTTTGCAGTGAAGTATTATATTCTAAGAAACACAATACTATATAATTACGAATAATATGAAGTTCTTCAAAACCTTTGAGTAAACACCCGTAGTAAAATACGAATAGATTATTCAAATGTCAGCTGAGTGGCAACGTCATGATTTGCTTGGCTTATTCCAATACTCCCACGTCGTATGTTTTTAATGAATGAGTAACCCAAAATCGGTCGGTGTAAATAACGCCATTTAACGATGACGTAAAAAAAGAATAAGCATTCTACGGGAAAATGTTCGAATGTGAAATTGAAAGTCGTCAGAACTTAAACATACGATAATAAGAATTTGTTGAAAGCCAATTTTCTTAAATAAAGTAAGAATATCATTTAACTTCATCAAAATATCCTGAATATGTTATTGAAAATCGTTTATGCATTTAACTATTTCAGTTTTCTTCGTCTTTTACGTCGATATTAAAAGTGTGTTCAATTACAGAAACAACAAATATTTCCCTTGACCTACAGCGCTTGTTGTCTTCTATATGGCAAAATCTGCCGATACTTAACTGCATAATGACGTACATGTATAGTATAACATATATGGGATAACAACAGTTCTTTAATACTAATTTGTAATGTAACTTATTTAGTGTAAATAGCATTGACTTTGCTGCAGACACTACCTTTCTTATGATATTGCGAATACTGGCAACCGATAACAGATAGCAGTAAACCAATGTTGTCTGAGTGCCATAAGAACACAACAACCCTAACCACAAATTCGAATGGGGGCATTCCTAGTAAAATGTAGTGTCCTCATGATGATTGCAGATATAGTCCCTAGAAGAAATACGAGCTATAGAGGCATAACATTTTCCCATCTGTAGACATCAAGGTTACAACTACAATCAAGTTTACTTCCAGAAAGTCTGAATTTGTTGCAATGGCAAAATATTTGAAACAAAAATAGGTATGCATCGTCTTTCAAGGGCAATAGCTATTATAAGTAGTCAACGATGTATTTCGATCGTCTTACGTATTTGTAGATCGTGCTTGCAGTTGTACATTTTTGTGTAAGTGTCTCTCTATATCTTATAGCCAAAACCATAGAAATAGGTACAAACAGTCATTAAAGTGAACACATTTCTGAACGGAAAGCTTAGTTTTTAATTATATTTACACACCGGGTAATTCGAACAGAAACCGTGGAGGGATCCTAAAACCCAACGAGCAATTAATGAAAAGTTAGTAACGGTGGGTAAGTAAATATGGATTCGATTCCCACGGAGTAATTATGCTTTTCATTAAATGCTCCTCGGGTTTCGGATGCCTCCGCGTATTTCGGATCGGGGTACCCGATGTGATTTAGTGCTTAAGAAGATTTAGTGCAAAAGACACTTATGTTACTCAAAATTCCGCTTTCAACTCTCCGTAAATAAATAAACATCATTTATTTCATCTCGAATATTATATAATAATATATATATATATTATAATACTTATATAATAATGTATAATTAAAATAAATATATTTTAATATAACATACCTATATATGGAAGGATTAGCCTAAATGTCGATTTGTAATTGGTCCAAACGTCGCGCATATCTTTAGTCCAAATGTTACATCAATTAGCCCAAACGTGTATCTCCACTGCGGTCATATATCGTGCTTATATTTATATTTTGACATTTTACATGATTTACATTCATTGATGTATTTTTAAAAATTATACAATATAATAAAAATTTATTTATTATGTTTTGTATCTGTACACCCATCTTGCTTGATTTGATTACTTTTGTTTGAGTACTGTCTTTAACATATCTATTTCTTGTATCACCTTTCTAACACCTGGTTCGGAATTTATATAATAGTTTATGATTGATAAATTTGGAGGTGTATTGACTGATACAATGTGATCCAGTTATCAATTCAACCCGTAGACTTATACTTTGGAAAGTTTGCAAGGTTTGCTAAAAGCTAAAGATATTGCATTGCCCGAATAAATGGCGGTGATTAATTGTTTTCTCAGTTGGGATTCTTTTTTGCCATGCACATTAAATATATAACCAATGGAAGACATGCTATCTTTCAAGTTAATAGTGTACTGAATTTTCATTAAAAAAAAGCCAACATAATATAGCATTAGATTTTCATTCTCAATCTGTTACATTATATCGTTTCTTATTAACGAACACTTTATATCCTATATGCAGCCCTGGGTGGTAAAGCTATTCGAATACGATCATTCCGAAGTATTATTTTCTTTGGGTGTTGAGAGTTGTAGACAAAAGGTAAAAACGAGACGGAAAATACCAAGGAGACATCCAGATAAGCGTTTCAGACGATCAATTTAATAAACACTTTGTGTTATTTTCATTATGTAATTTTATTAATAGAAAGTAAGTAAGACATTTGTAGGCACTAACATTTTGAAACAACAAAAAAAGAGAACATTCTTAAAGAAGTACCAAATAACACAATTCAAATACAAGCACATTGGAGTTTCTCCAAATATTTAGACAATTTCATACTTATACAAATACATAGTATCTTGTGTACGGTTCCGTTCATATAATATTTGATATCTATTTATGCTATAATCAGAGTCTAAGTTTGAATGAGTTGTTGTGTCTCTGAGTCCTAACTTGAAGAGGAGTTGGTTGAACAAAATTGATACTTCCGGAACAAACGAAATAACAATATACGTGCACGTGCCGTTAACGTGCGTTTAGGTTATGTTATGTTTGGTCTGCACCCATATCTGCTTGAAAATATGTTATATGATAAAAAAGATATATATATATATATATTCTTAATAGACACGAAAATAAAGTAAAAAAAAACCAACTATGACCGTAACAAGTTTAAACACGGCTTTTAATCAACTCAATATAACAATATATATAATAGAGAAAGAAAAAAAAAATAAATAATAAGAAAATGTTAAGTTAAAGTAAACAACGAACATTAGTAGTTGTACTCAATTAACGAAAAAAAACATCATCAATTTTAAAAGTTTAATTAAACATTACTTTTTATTAAGGATTTAAAAGAAACACACGTTGTGCTAAATATAAATCAGGGAGATAATTATAGATGAACGTTTCAACGAAATTGACAAATGTGTATATTTATCTGTTTCATGTGCATGAGAATATAATTTTATTTTTTTCCACCATGCTTTCTATGATACTTTAGAATGATTGCCAAAATACAGTGGCTATGATTTTATTATTGCAAAGATGTTGACGTTTACACATATGTAGACTATCAGCTGTTGACATTCTCGCCATTTGGTCTCTGGTAGATATTTGTCTTATTCGCAATCGTAGCATATCTCCTTATTCTTATAGTATGAACAGTTTAATTACGTATTTAGTCTGTTGTTTTTTTTATTATTACCATTAAAATTATTAAAATCTCTGTATCGCTGTATATGAACGATGCATTTGGTATAAGTTTTGATTAAAATGAAATTTCTATCCGAATAAATATGAAATAAAATGTATATGCAACTTGTAATTTACATGACTTTATGTCGTTGTTGAGACATCATAATCATCTTCTGTTTTTTGTCCAAAGAAATGATCATATGTGTCTTCCCTCCATTGTCATTCTTTTTGTGACTTCCGGAGTCATAAATAGTATCGACGGCATGATTATAAATGTTATCCTCTGATTCCTTGTGACGATTACTTCCCGAATGGTCGTAGACTCCTTCAGATATATCATACTGATCCTCATCGCAAATTTGGTTCTCTGTAGCCTTAACAGGCTTTGCAAACTCATAATCTGTAGGATTGTTAGAAAATATTTGTCTATTGAAACCCGTTTCGGTTGGATCTAATACCATGTAACTGTCTGCATTTCCAGTCCTGTTGTATATAGACTCCTTAAAACTCTTTTCAGCTGTAGGGTCAACGATAGCATATTCATCGTCATTTGACATGTGATTGTCTGTAAATGTTTTATCTTGACGGTCTGCATATGTAGGTATCTGAACTTTTTCTTTATTAACAAAACCGTTGACTGCACCTAAGTTGGTGTATTCATGCTTAATATTGTTGATCTGAGCATTAGGATGTATGTTGTCATAATCATGAACAAAAGTATTTCTGCTTTGTTCATACATGCCATCATTCTGCATATGACTGGAATGATTAGCGGTTAGTGGTAAAGCTATATCTTGACTTCCAATATAGTCATTTCCTCCGAGATTGTTTCTTATTTTTTCTCTTGGATTGCTCTTGAATGTATGCCTTTAATATAAATTACGTTAAGAAGTATTTTTTTTTTAATTCTAAATCAAATGAATTCTGTACAAATAAACCAGGTCTGCATAATTTATCATCCCTATAAACATGCATCTCATTGGCACTCATACCACATCTTCTTATTTATATAAAGAGTGAATGGCGTTAGTTCTTATTGTTTTCCTTTTAAAGGTCAATGTTTTGCATTGTAATAAAAATCAGCAAATAGTATTTCTAAAATTTCAAGCGTATTGATTAAATTTTTTTTGACATAGAATAAAACATCAATTTGAAAAGGATTTGAGAAATAATAATTATCAAATATTTTGAATATTACGTCGAATATTTCAAGAAGGAATATTGAACATCCTAAAAGTACACTTTTGTATAAACATACCTTCTTATGAGAATAACAATCACAATAACAACACAGACTAGTAACAAAGTACCAATTACCAAGCCTACAACTAAACCTGCAAAATTAAAAGAAAGTAATCATATTACCTGTTATATGGTTGTTGTAGCTTTAAGAACACCATAACACGCTTAAATAGATTTGTTTTATTCAAATCTTTTTGTTCTTCAAACAACAAATGTCAATGCCAATACAAAAAAAAAAAAAAAAATGAAATGTCCATTCTGCAATCCCTGTTTTCTTTGTTAGGTTATGAAATGTTTTATTATCCAATTCAAAGAACAATATAGTTTCCAGTGAAAATGAATACAAATGGTTTTTGTTACTTTTTTTTAACTCTTTAAAATTATAGCCCAAAATTGTTTAGGCCGATAAACTGTACAATCTTGTGTTGTGGTTTAAGTGACTTCATCAATGCTTTAACTTTGATTCTTATAAACAAACTATGGATTATGATTGGTATGCAATTACTAATCATACATATTGTATCGTTTTTCTAGGGCAGGTTTGTTTTCCAAAGTCTGCTGGCTTTTAAATCAGAAATATAAAGGCTGCACGAGCCTTTGGATGAAATAGTTTCTGCTTCACTAGTCACATTCATGGTGTTGATTTTGATGAAAATGCACGATTGGTCATTGCCGGTGATAAGGCATAATACAAAAGAGGCAAAAGATGCGAAAAGGGATAATCAAACTCATAAGTTGACGACAAACTGACAACGCCATGGCAAAAAACGAAAAGCAACGAAAAGAAAAAACACAAATAACATAAAAAAAACTAGACATGCTAGGTAGTAGAGAATTGATAAGAAGTAGTTGATTCGTAAACGATAATCAACGAGCGACTTCAGTCGCAAGTTGATTATCGTTTCCGAATCCACTACTTCTTATCAATTCTCTAGCTTAGCCCATTTCTAGTAAAACGACTTTCTGTTTTACGTTTTGACAATGAATCAACGATATTTCATAAAGATAGTTTCGTATTTTGTCTTTTTTATTCTATAATAGCTGGAAATGATTATATCCACACGGTTTGCATCTATATTTAAACATTTGACAAGTTAACATAAGTTTAAGATATCTTAAATGGGATGTTAGCTCCAATTTTTAACACCAGATTTTATTTTTGTATATACATATTTCATTTAATGTTTAATCATTACAAATTATTTAAATTGAATAGATTTTGGTATATTTGATTTATTCAAAAAGACATATATTAATATACAGAATTTATTTATCTTGTTTTGAAAAGTTAAAAAAATTTAATTACCAAAATTTAGAACCTTCAAAATTTATATGCATAATATTTAGCAACATGATTTGATACCTTGAAGACTAAACACCGTTAAGCTGTTAATCAAATAAATATTATTATTGTTGATGCCATATATCTGCCATTTCATAATGCTCAAATTCATGTTGCTTTCCTAAAAAAATATGTGCTTATGATTTAAATTGAAAAATTATATTTTAATTTTTTTTAAACTGTTTCCGTCTCATTAAGTTAAGATTATGTTAACATTATTACATTTTGCATATATCGTTCACCGGTCAATAAACTAGTTTTATCTGTGGTACGCATTCTAAATCTCCATTAGAATTGCTCTTGCTACGGATGTACAATGAAGAATTATGTTGATTTCATAATCTTACCATCAAGCTGTTCATAGCCGTGTCTAGTCGTTGGTAACAAATGTCACAACGGTGATATTAACAGTGCAAAGTTAAAACCTTGTATCCGGAATGAAATTTTTTCATTGTAATTTTTTCTGGACCAAAAATATTGTTTTAATCCTAGAACATGTAGAAGTATTATATATTATATATTTCAATTTTATATGATGGCGATGATTTTGTTTCTGTTTTAACTGTCAAAGAAGTAGTTTTAACCTATTTCTTTAAAAAAAAAAATAACACCCAAAATAAAACAAATTCAATAAACATGAACAAACCAAGATATATATATATATATTTCATTAGATTAAAAAAGCGAATTATCAATGAGACAGAAATACAGTTAAATGAGATGTATTGACAATTAAGCGCTTTGAGAGTACTATTCATATAATGATTGATGTCATGCATAGACTGAAGACTCTATTGAGTATGAAAAAAATACGCGCGGGTTCGAATCCTACACATGCCACTCGTTTTTGAGAGGATAAAAGATCGTAAGTTAAAAGTTTAAAGTTATGATGTAAGTTCTCTTAAGTAAATACTGTGGTCAGTGGATTCTTGAAAAATTTTCTACAGTAAGAACAATAGACTGACGTCAGAGAAATGGGTAAAAGAATGATAAAACGAACTCTACCAAAAACCGGGTTGATCACAGGTGGTGATGAAGGGAAATCAGATCCTCCGTTGCATGTGGTACCCGTGGTGTTGCTCATCTTAATATCCACCGTCATCTGAGAAACAGAAATTCCATAGTGGTCAACCAACACGTGATCGCGTACATAAAGGTTTCGAAAAGATTACGTAGATTTTATTATCTGAAACCCTTGTTTAAATAGCTTCCTTTAAGGCAGCAACTATCAAGGAAATCACAATGGAATCGCGAGTACTAGAATATCAAATAAACTTGAAGATATATACTCCATATGCAGGCGCTGCAAGACTGTTCTACATTTAAATGGAAAGTTTACAATTGGAAGCTTAAATCATCACTTTTGTCGCAAAGTTTAGTTTTTAACCTATCCTTAATGCCAATTTTCAAATGTAAGTTAAGAAATGAAATGGACTTTACTGTATCTGAGGTATCCTTTATTTCAAGATGCGTTCAACATAGTCCACAAACTTTAAATCATTAATGAGAAAACATCATAAATGAAGCGGAACAGGAAATTAAAGGATAATAATATCTTCTTTTCGCTCTTTCAAAGAAGCTTCCTTATGAGGTCTGCCTAATATAAATAACGGAACAAGTCGGTAAGAAAAGGAGAACAGTTGGTTCCCATAGGAATGCCGGTTGTTTGATGAAAAACTGATCCTCCAAAAGGGGATTTGTAAATGTTTTTTTTTCTAACCACCTGACATTATATCACATTTATGAAACATCTACATTTGATCTATAAATGTACTCATTACGTCCCGACTGATTATACATCGCAGAGTATGAAAGTTTGGAATAAAAACACAGGTCACACGAACATAGACAAGACCGTTACAAACGTACAATTAATTCAATTCCAATGTATGTAAATATTGATAGCGAAATCGACATTTGAATGGTTGAGAATATCCCACGTGACATTTAACAAAACTTCATTTTCCCTTCTGAACATCGGGACTACCTCATGCAACTTTACCCGTGGTTAATAAACATAACTTTTTGAATGTTTTTGAATAGCGATAGTACAGATATAATCGTGTTCAAAATTATTTTAGGACTAAAAAAAAAACAGAAAAAACTATAGTAAATAAAATCGGAACTGTTTATACATGTTATATCGTGCATAATTATAAAAGCAAGTGCATATGGAAAATGTATAGACATTAATAATGTATGTTCAGGAAGTAAAACATGTATATACAATGATATAAAACTTTCATTTCCATTGACTTACAGAGATAAGATGATATGTTCATTCTCGAAAAGTCATATTTCCCTTAGAAGATGTCTTCGGAAAATATAAATTTTCTTTGGTGAACCAATCTGCATATCTACCTAACACAAGGGGAATAAATGTATAATACTGAAAAATAAATTATCTCATAATACAATACATAAAACTAAAGCAAAAAGAAAATGAAACCTTTCATATAATTTGGGCTTTATAATGTCCATTTACTAGTAGCAAAGTGATTAAAAAAGAGACAGAAGATACCAATTCAACAATAGAAAATTATAAGTAGCAGAAATCCGACAACAACATGAAGTACAATTTCTGTAATAAATCAGAATCCGAAACATAGATAATCTATAACAGTCAACCAATATATTTGAAGATATGTGTTCTATACGCGATCGCGGCTGGAATGTTGCTACGTCGAAATGAAAGTTAACAATGGGAAATCCTTTTTTTTGTCATATAGTTATTTCTCGAGCATCACTGAAGAGACAATAATTGTCCAAATGCGCATCTGGTGCAGAAAGATTGCTACCGTTAATGTTATTGCTGCCACTGGGTCGATACCTCTGTTGGTGAACTCTTAGACCCCGAAGATATCGCCAGCCCAGAAATTCTGTCCAGCCATTACAATACGGATATTATGTAATTTAAAATTGCTGCTACAAACTTTTGGAAATTATTTCAAATTAAGGAATAATTATATCTTCCGCATGCAATTTTCCCTACTTTAACTTTACTTTTTGTCCTTTTTTGTTTTAATTTCGAATAAGTTTCGGATTTTCAAATATTTTGGTCCCGAGCATCACGGAAGAGACATTTATAATCGAAATGCGCATCTGGTGCTGTAAAAGTGGTACTGTCAATCTACCTCATTGTCAGCTTCAAGATGTAAATTAAGATATGAACCATAATTAACTGGGGCATCTTGTATTTCAAGTTCATTTTGGTAGATGCATAGTCGCCACACTTTGTATAATTCATTGATCTCATCACTACTGAGATATAAGCACACGAATATCTCTTGTTTACACTCTCTATCGCGGTATTTTCAAACCATATTTGCCTTTTTACAATTCACGGAGACGCTTGATCTTTGGTGCATTAATTTGCTCTCTTAAGATAATGTGATGTTTTCTGGCTTGTTCTCACTTATCGAAAATGTCTTTAAAAAAAAAATACCTGTTTCTGAATCGCTGGAATTACCCAATACTCTTGCTGAAGTAACATTTTCATCACTGACTGTAAAAAATGATGAATTTAAATACAAGCTATTGAAACCTCGCTATCACTATGTCGAACATTATATTTGACTATCATAAGACAGCCCCGTCTCAGAGATGCGAAATATTGAAATAGTGCATGTTGTATAGATTAAGTTTCTTTAAGAAAAGAAAATGACATCTCAATAAACTTCTCAATCTATTAAGGCGGCCGATTAACATGATTAAAGGTAAGATGTTTATGGTCCAAGTTCCTTTCAAGTCGAATAAGTAATTCTTCTAAAAATGCATAGTTTTTCCGTTCTTTTACATCAAATATTAAGTAACTAAATCACTATAACTCTATATGTAAAAACAAATAACTTGGTGACCCAAAATGTTTTATAAGTTATGTTCAGTCAATTTTAAGTGTGGAAACAAACAGCTCTAATCGTTGGAATCAATTTTCTTCCATTTTGATTAACAACAACATTGAACAATAACATTGGATTCAAGTGAGTACTTTTCAAATGCAAAGATTCAAAGTGATTACAATATACCATTTTTTTAAAGATATTTTTTTTTACAATTATTTAATTACTAAAATTATGAAACTTGAGACAGCAATTTTTGTTGATTGAACGCAATGAAAGAATAATTTACGGTCATTGAAGGACTACAGGTAATGTACAGCTGAAACTAACCGTTCTTTAGAATGCCCATCTCTTCATGACAATAGAGCGCTTCTTCATGAAGCTACATTGCTTAAATTACAAAGATCATCCCAATTCAAATTTAACTTAAAGGAAAAAGTAACAGAAACAAAATACCGAACTCCAAGGAAAATTCAAAACGTAAAGTCCCTTATCAAATGGCAAAATCAAAAGCTCAAACAAATCAAACCAATTGAAAACAACTGTCATATTCCTGACTTGGTACAGGCATTTCCTTATGTAGACAATTGTGGATTAAACCTGGTTTTATAGAAACAGGAAGGATAACGAGACCACATAGGCGTTTGTTAAATACATAGTATATTGCATCCGAAACGATATAAGTCACTTAATGAAAAGAGGATCACTGTTGTTTCTTTTTATTTTACGTATTCAGCCATACCTGCACTTGAATCTTCACTTGGGATAAATAATGAAACTGTCGTAGTTTCCACACCTGAAATTAACAAGAGGCTCTCAAGAGCCTGAATCACTCACCTGTAATGTTTTGCTTAAATCTTTCATCAATGATTATTTTTGCTTTTCAATATATATTAATGAATGGCTTAAAACTTTCATTGAAATGTTCTTTGTCATATTTTGTTCAAAATCAAAGAAATGCATTTTACCCCTATGTTTCATTTTAGCCATAGTGGCTATGTTTCTTGACGTACAAGAAAATAAAATACAAACTTTATACTAGATACTCTGAAACTCATTCAGTCCAAGTTTGGCTGAAATTGATTCAGCAGTTTCAAAGGAGAAGATTTTTTAAAGTAAGCAAACTAAAGGAACAAAATGAAAAAATGATTTTAAAGGGCAATAACTCCTTAAGGGTTCAATTGACAATTTTGGTCATACGAACTTATTTGTAGATCTTACTTTGCTGAACATTTTTGCTGTTAACAGTTTATCTTTATCAGTAACAATATTCAAGATAAGAATCAAAATCTGCAAAATTTCCTTAAAATTACCAATTAAGTGGCAGCAATCCAAAAATGGGTAGTTAGAATCAGCTGAAAATTTCAAGGCTGACAGAACTTGGCCTAATAAACATTTTTACCTCCATCAGATTAGCTCTAAATGCTTTGGTTTTTGACATATAAGCCAAAAATTGCATTTAACCCCTACGTTCTATTTGCAGCCATCGCGGCCATGTTTTTTTACGAAACAGAAAATAAAACACAAACTTTATCCTAGATACCCTTAGAATCATTCAGCTTAAGTTTGGTTGGAATTGGTTCAGTAGTTTCAGAGAAGAAGAATTTTTAAAGTTAGAAAACATGATAAACAAATTGTGTAAAATTGTCCTTAAAGGGCAATAACTCATTAAGGGGTCAATTGATAATTTTGATCATATGAACTTATTTGTTGATCTTACCTTGCTGAATATTTTTGCTGTTCACAGTTTATCTTTATCATTAATAATATTCAAGATAATAACCAAAAACTGCAAAATTTCCTTAAAATTACCAATTTAGTGGCAGCAACCCAACAATGGGTTATCAGATTCAACTGAAATTTCAGGGCTGATAGAACTTCACCTAATCAACACTTTAACCCCTATCAGATATGCTCTAAATGCTTTGGTTTTTGAGATATAAGCCAAAAACTGCATTTTACCACTATGTTATATTTTTAGCCATGGTGGCCATGTTATTTGACGAAACAGTAAATAAACAAAAACTTTATTATAGATACCCTAAGCATCATTCAGCTTAAGTTTGATTGACATTGGTACAGTAGTTTCAGAGGAGAATATGTTTGAAATAGTTTACACCAGACGGACGACGACGGAGCCAAGTGATGGCAAAAGCTCACAGTTCCTTCGGAACGGTGAGCTAATAATTAAGTCATAAATTGTATAAAGGTATTACGCATGAAGAAATATGAGAATCATAGGAAAGTGTTAGCTCACGAAATGACACAAAATCTGTCAAAATCACTGAAAATTCATGTGTTATTACCCTTAATCAATTGAAAACTAAACAAAGTCATACACTTTTGTAATCTGATGTTTCAATTCCAAATAGAACTGCTATTTTGTATGATGTGGAGAAAAATATAACGAATGATAGAATAAAAGATACTCCGTGCGAGCTCAGTAATACGTATATATCTTCTCAAATGACAATATTGAAACGAAAACTTTTTATCTTCATCATTTGTAATGTCCCTGGCAAATGACATATGTACAATAAAAGACAGGGACCTCTCTGTAAGCTGCTCTCCACTGCTAAGGGTTGATGTATTCCAAGTTATTTGAAATTAAAGATGTTGTTCATGTTAAAAACAAAAAAGTACGTATATAAATGCGAAGATTAAATCCAGCCGTATACTTTAACCTAACAATCTCCGGGTCACCAAGCATTTTCGAATAGTGATTGAAAGTTATGAAAGAGCATTTGTCATTTACTGATGGAAACTTAATACCAGCTTATCAATTTTAGTCTGAAACGGTCATTCTGGTCTGAGCAGACTTTAAACGTCATTTTTAGTTTTTTACTCAATTTCAAAAGTGTCCATTAAGGTAAATTCAGCTATGTGCTTGCAGTCAATTAGGGTCTGTTCAGTCTATATTCAGACGGTTCAGTAGTTGTTGTTTACCTGTACAGATCAACAACGTACTGAACAGTGCTAAATTGACCACAAGCGCATTGTTTGAACAGTACTGAATTTACCGCAGTCAATTACTTGACTGAAAGACTGAACATGACTTATTAATTTACTGTTGTTCAGTCTTTGTAGATGATGTCAAGATCAAAATGACGGTTTCAGTACTAGTGTAAAGTACAGCTAAGTATGAACAGTTAATACACTTAACTTTCTTTTTCGTTAAGACAATGTCGTGTCTTTTCATACAGGTAAAACATGTAAAATATGCAGACCTAAAACTAAATGGCTAAGTACGTTACCCTTCTGTACAGCCAGACAGGTAGTCAAAATCAAATGTTTAAATAATTTGAAGCAATATACATATGTACGTCACTTGAAAAGGGGAACATTGTTGGTTCTTTTTTTAAGGTTTTTTTTTCGACCTACCTGCACTTGAATCTCCTCTTGAGGTGATATCTGACGAGACTGTAGTCGATGTATCGTCTGAAAACAGAATCTTATCTTTAATAATGTTTTTATACAGATAATTAGTAAAAATATAACGAATGAGGCAATAAAAGGTACTACATGCGAGTTCAGTAATACGCATATATCTACTCAAATGACAATATACGGACAAGTTGTTCCTGGGTAGCTGAAGAGAGAGGGCATAAAAGGTTGTAGTATTCAATTGTACGCAGCCAAATTGTACCTCTATCGGATGTTTGAAATTCCGTGTCTTTGCAAAAGGAAGTCAAACATTAAATACATTTACAACTGTTACTAGCCCGCTCATCTTTTTCGGGACTGTCCAAATTTCACGATCCGCAAATGTTGCCATGAACAATGTCATAAATGAATGTGGAATTTTGCGTAGAAACAAGCACGTCAAGAATACGGTGAATACACGAATTCAATATTGGAGGGTAGACGTTTTAACAAGAAAGATGACGAGCAAGATCAAAGTTTCTTTGCACTTAGACACATGGAACAGACACTTAATACAGATAAGGACAAAAAAGCGGACAAATACACGGAACGCTGGAATTGTAAATGTGGTTGTAGGTGCTTCGAATGCAAAATGAATCGGAAACTTTTCAGAGAAAACTTAACATTCATTCTTTTCTGGAGCCTCTTTTGAGAATATTGAAAAAAAATATAACTTTCTGATTCCTATACTGACAGAAACAGTATAAAAATAGGCGTGATATGTCTATGTACCAATTATGTATTTGGTATCAAATACGACTATCATATTGTAATCCACAGTATAGTTCAAGCAGTAGCAAAAGTCAAATGGCATTACTCTGATTTTAAAATAAGTGTCCGTACAATAATCCTTAAATAAGGAAAGAGCCTAAGCGTTGCAAAATATAATATCATTGCAAATATTCCAATGCTTTTGTTAAACAAATGTGTGAACGGGAAAGATTGAATTGATCGATTGCTTTTATGTTTTCAAAAGACTTCTATGATTATAAAATCCGTGTTTCATAGATATGAGGCTAGTAATTTCAAAACTCCAACAAACAAGCGAACAGCGAGTTTTAAGTTCGGCTGAAGGGTATACGTACAAACAACGGTACAATAAACATTCCAAGTACGGAATTCTAGAAGGAGATACTGAATGCCCATAGCATCATTCATGTATATATGTCTCGATATCCCAATAGCATAAGTTCGAATCCCGGCAAGGGAAGAACAAACATTAGCTTCCGCAAATTTGTAGATTTAACATTGTTGTGCAAATATTTAGAGTAATTATGAATATAATATGTGTATTCAGCCGTGTATCACCTTCACTGGTGATCCAATGGATGGATCTGTCGTAGAGTTGTCATTTGTTTAGACGAACTTATCAAAATAATTATTTCTGTGACTGTATCGTACGATCCTTTACGATAGATATTTAGCTAATCTGCAATCAATTCCATCTTCATGCCTAATATATTATGTACTATGTTACAACTCTAGATTCTACTGACGAGGGAAGGTAACACTAGGCAACCGAAAGCTGAATTTTTAGTTCAGTTTATGTGGCCGAGTGGTCTAGAGTGCTGGACACAGTGCAGGCGGTGTTGTCTCTATATCCCAATAGCATGAGTTCGAATCCCGACGAGGGAAGAACAAACAATTAGTAAAGATACAGTCACAGAAATAACAACAATGTTAAATCTGCAAATTTTCGGGTCTAAATATCAGCACAACAATGTTAAATCTGCAAAATTGCGGAAGCAAATTTGCAGATTTATCATTGTTGTGCTGATATTTAGAGTAATTATGAATACAATATGTGTTTTCAGCCGACTATCACCTTCACTGATGATCCAATGGATGGATCTGTCGTAGAGTTGTCACATGTTTAGACGTATTTATACATATATCTATATGTGCTACTTAACATACTTAATTCAGTAGTTAAGTAATATATTGGATCATACAATCTCTAATATGGTCCAAGGACACAGTTATCGTCCTTTGGTTTTCGTTGTCTACAAATATAGTCCCTAGTGTGAACAGTGTATAACTTGCATTTTTTTTTGATACACTTTCCCAATTTATTTCTTGATATTTTATGCATGAAATATTAAGTAAGGGGATGAAATTACATGTTAAAAAAATTTGGGTGCTGAATCTTTATGTTAAGTAGTGATTTGGTCCAGTTAAAAAAGGTCAAAAATTCGAATGTCTGAAGCTGTCAAACTGAATTTTAGCCCCCCTTAACACAGAACTGTCAATATTTTGAGTTAGAGCTGGTAGAAGTTTCTATTATTTTGATATTATTTGTATCAATAGTAGTACACTACACTGTAAAAATCTTTTTGAGATAGAGCAGGTGCGATTTTTTTAATTTGAATTTATTGTCTAAAAGAAATGCACTACGAAATAACTGTGTTCTCGGGCCTAAGATGCTTGTGATTTTATTATTATTTATTCCTTATTTGTTGATTTATCTTGGGAGTAATAATGCTTAATACATGTAATTGTTTACTAATAAATATTGTAAGCAACACAAAACTAATGATGTATGACGAAAAATATAAGATTATCGCAATTAAACGCTGCTATAATGTGAATGGGTTCAAAAAAAAGGTAAACGCATTGTTTCATTGTTGGTTAAGCAACAAATGAATATATCATGTATACAAGAAACCCACTGTCCTGTTAATGGTATAGACCTCTGGGTCAAACAATTGTGGGATAGGTTTTTAAAAATATTTTCAAAACTTGGTGGAAATATTCGAAATGTACTAAAGAGGAGTTAGCTTCTTTATGAGATTGGTGGGGGATGGGAAATAGAAACTAAAGCCAGTACTATTGTCATTTCAAATAAAATTTGAAAGATCAGGGTAACGTTTGAAATGATATTGATTCTATACCATCAGAGCAGGTTATATTTTATACCGATTGTATAGCACTGAGGGTTTGAACGGAAATAAAAACAAAACTTATCTGATGAAAAAAGTAAAATAACAAAAATACCGATCTCCAAGAAAAATCCCTTATCAAATGGCAAAATCAAAAGCTCAAACACATCAAACGAATAGAAAACAACTGTCATATTCCTGACTTGGTACAGGCATTTCCTTATGTAGAAAATTTAGGATTAAACCTGGTTTTATAGCTAGCTAAACCTCTCACTTGTATTGCAGTCGCATAAAATTCCATTATATTGACAACAATGTGTGAACAAAGCAAACAGACATAATAGGTAAAATGTCAAAAATAAGAGTACAGCAGTCAACATTGAGTTATAATCTTAATCACTATAAAAACAAACAAATATGTCAACAAAGAAAACAAATTGGCATATAGACAAAGCACATAAGCAAAAATAAAAGACAATAATACAAAAAATGACCATAGCACAATAACACAATGGCGGAATGTATAAGTACCGAGGCACGCCAAAAAGATATTACCAAAAATGGACTAGATAGTAAGGGTTAATAATTTACAAATACAAATAAAAGAACACTATAACAGAAAACAGACGTACGTTGAAAGAGGAAATATAGAAAGGCAAATTGACTTGGATGAATTAACAAATACAGTTCAAATCTGAAAAAAATATGTCTCCGGGAAGGAATGAGATTATATCTGAATGTTATCAAATATACTTGGACCTTATCAAAACGCATTTCACTGACGTACTAAAGGAAATATTGGACGAAAATGAACTAAGAATATCCCAATAGCACGATATGTTAACCTTACAATATAAAGGAGGAGAACGAGAGTTCATAAAATACTAGAGACCTTTAAACTTGGTGAATATGGATTATTATTTATATCAAATGTATTAGCAGACCCTTTTCAATTGTTGTTAAAACAATTACCATCCGGTTAAAAACAGGTTTGTAAAGGTTCATATCATAGGCTTAACATTAAGATTTGATTGATATTTCATTTTTGTTTGTAATCGTTCAATAAATCATAATTTATCCGACTCTAGATCCAAAATTATGTAAATAAAAACTTTATCAAAGAAATAACTGAAATTAATGTAGATAAAGGATATGTGAATGTGCGGATAAAGTGCAGTCTAAAGGATATTCGGTCAACATTTTCTGAAAATAGCCTATCGATGCTTTTTTCTCTCTTTAGATTTCAAATATTCGAGAAATTTCAAATAGTAACAATCATTGCGTACCCGTTATGTGCCTCATTAACTCTATATAGAAATCCGTACCGATTTACATACGATACTTAAGAGTGTTTTATTTGTACTACAAATATACGTGATATATCAGAAAAGAGCGTGTACGGCAAATGAAATATTTCGAATTTTCTAAAGTGAAATCATAATTGAGCGTCTTCATTTCTGTATATTTTTTTTAATTTGTTACACCATTTTCATTTATTTTTTTATTTTGCCCGTTAAAATCTATTCTTATTATATTTGTTTTGCTTAGTTTCTGTATTTATAATTTCCCCCCTTTATTATGGGCACCCCTCTCCCCTTTCACACCTGAATAGCACATGCTACACAGGGTCTATAGGTCATCGCTTTTGCCGTGATACACATTATTGCACAATTACGGCACTCTGGCCTCACAGATGAAGAAAATCATCAGAATCCTGAAAATGATATGAAACATCTTTTGTTATTAATATCTAACAGTCTCCGGGACAAGTTTGCAATTCCGCTGAGTGCAAAAGTTGTCATCTTAATTTTTGGAGTTAAGTCAAAATAAAGTTGATAACTTGGTTGGTATTGATTCCCTGATATTTGTCCTAACAAATTTTGGCTCTAGCACCACTGTTGACAAAGTTATGCCCCTTTTTCAACAATTTCCACAGAGGAATAGTAGTTTTCCTCAAGGGAAATCAAATTTCCCTAAAGGAAAAAGATTTTTCCTCAAGGGAAATTGTATTTCCTCAAGTGAAAAAGATTTCCCTTAGGGAATTTGCTGCATTAATATTTCCTTTGAGGAAATTCTATTTCCTCTGAGGAAATTTGCGGCTTCAAATTTTTCTTTGAGGAAATTCTATTTCCTCTTAGGAATTTTGAGGCTTCAAATTTTCCTCTGAGGAAATTTGCGGCTTCAAATTTTCCTTTGAGGAAATACTTTTTCCTGTGAGGAAATTTTTGACAAACACTTTTCCTTGAGGGAAAATTCAGGACCACAAATTTCCTCTAAGGAAACATTGTTCTCCAAATTTCCTGTATGGAAATCTCTGTTCATCAATTTTCCCCTAAGGAAATGTTTTCCCCTATTTTTCCTCTATGGAAATTTCATAACAGTAAAAACAGTATGAATATAATTTTTCCTGAGACTGAATAATTGATACAAAAGATAATTAAAACTTTACAAAAATGTTCACTGATGAGTAACATGACATACAAAAACAATAGGCTAGTTGTTTTAGACAATACAATAATAAGCAAAACGCTATGAATATCATACTATTTGTGATGTTATTAATATTGTGCTCATATTTGCAGATTAAATAAAATAACAACTTTTCATGTTAATTTAACTTTTCTTCTGTTTAAGCTGCTGCGTACATTTATTCAATCCCCTACATAACAGTTCAGTGCATAAATAATTCCATCCACCAGACATCTTCCTTCAATTGGTAGAGAATTCATTTTTGCAATTTGTTCTTCAAACATCTTCCTCTGTATATTTGATATGACGGAGCCATGTACATGAATGGATAAAGCAGGTGTTTATTTCGACGACAAAATACTATTTTTTTCTACATTTCTCCCTAATCCTTCATTGAATATGTAGGTTGTTGCAATTACACAATTGTGTTCTTGTGCATCTATGATTGTACTCCATTTTGTTTACAGCCATTTTGTAGAAACCTATTTCTTTTTCCAGGTAAGCACACATTTCATTTCACATTAATCCAATTAGCACACAATGTAAAAAAGTATTAACCTAAAGTTTCCTCTTTGGAATTAACCTGTTGATGATCACGAAAACCAAGATGTCTGACCTATAAATACACAAAATATAAATTGAGAAAAAAAACAGCAATATGAAATAAGCTTATTTTATCATGTTTAATATGAACATTTTGAGAAACTTAAATTTGATATTCTTACTTATCATGCTTATGAGTTTTCTTAATTCAGTGTTTTGTGTCCACAACTTAATAACAGTCGTTTTAGTGCCTTGCAGTGATATTGAGTTGAGCCACTTGCAACAGTTTTTACAGTTTGTTCATATGTTGTGCTATTTGAACCACTGTCCTAGATTATGGTTAGGTTGAGTGCTCACAGACATGACTTTTTTATTAATTGTTATTGGCTTTGAACTAATTTGGATTGTTTAAATCTTTTCATGCTGGGGTCTTTATTGGCTGACTTATAAGGTATGGGTTTTCTCATTATCGAAGGCCGTCATTGGTCTTTAATTGCTTGCATCCACTTCATTGAACTCTGGTAGATAGATAACTCATTTACCATACCACATCTTCTTATTTTTATAATAGTCATCATTCAAGGGCAATCACTTTTATTATATAGAAGTGGTCTTACCATTTAGGCCTTGTTGTCTTCTGTTTATCTAGTTTTGCAGATCATTTCAACTGTACAGTTGTAACTGTTTATATTTTTTTTTATCTTCTATATTTCTTGCCCTAAACTTAAAAAAGGTAAAAACTATAATCTAATGACTATAACTATTATTATACATCAGTATGTGTTTTTCTATATACCATGATATAAAAAAGAAATGAAATATTTGTGCTATTTCATTTCACAGACTATTTGCCAGTCAACAGTTTCAAAGACATAACACCGGTCAATAGTTTAACAAACAAACATTCCCGTACTTCTTCGTTGTGTTCATACTAATTTTTCATTGGACAACAATGACGTGATTAAGTATTCTTCTATGATTTGTGTGCTTGACACCGTTAAACTCTGAAATATTCTTAACGGTATAATCTGTATGTGTCTGTCGTCAAAATTTCAAATTAATATATTACCTACAGAAGCAATTAAAACAAGAGGCTCTCAAGAGGCTGAATCGCTCACCTGTAATTCTTTGCTTAAATCTTTCATTTATGATTATTTTTGCTTTTTAACATAAATTAATAAATGGCTTAAAAATTCCATTTAAATGTTCTTTGTATCTGTAATATTTTCTTCAAAAGCAAGAAATGCATTTTACCCCTATGTTCCATTTTAGCCATAGTGGCTATGTTTCTTGACGTATAAGAAAATAAAATACAAAATTTATACTAGATACTCTGAAACTCATTCAGCCAAAGTTTGGCTGAAATTGATTCAGCAGTTTTAACGATGAAGATTCTTTAAAGTAAGCAAACTAGATGAACAAATTGTGAAAATTTGTCTTTAAAGGGCAATTTCTCCTTAAGGGGTCAATTGACAGTTTTGGTCGTATTATCATATTTGTAGACCTTACTTTGCTGAACATATTTGCTGTTTACAGTTTATCTTTATCATTAATAGTATTCAAGATAATAACCAAAAGCTGCAAAGTTTCCTTAAAATTACCAATATAGTGGCAGCAACCCAACAATGGATTGTTAGATTCATCTGAAAACTTAATGGCTGATAGAACTTGACATAATGAACAATTTAACCTCACATCAGATTTGCTCTAAATGCTTTAGTGTTTGAGATATAAGCCGAAAACTGCATTTTACCACTATGTTCTATTTTTAGACATGGCAGCCATATTTATTGATGAAACAGAAAATAAAACACAAGCTTTATTCTAAATACCCTAAGGATCATTCAGCCTAAGTTTGGTTTGAATTGGTTCAGTAGTTTCAGAGGAGAAGATTTTTTAAAGTTAGAAAACATTATAAACAAATTGTGTAAAATTGTCGTTAAAGTGCAATAACTCCTTAAGGGGTCCATTGAAAATTTTGGTTTTGAAACTTATTTGTAGATCTTACTTTGCTGAACATTTTTGCTGTTTACAGTTTATCTTTATCATTAATAATATTCAAGATAAAAACCAAAAACTGGAAATTTTCCTTGAAATTACCAATTTAGTGACAGCAACCCAACAATGGGTTATAAGATTCATCTGAAAATTTCAGGGCTGATAGAACTTCACCTAATGAACAATTTACTCTGTTTCAGATTTGCTCTAAACGCTTTAGGCTTTGAGATAAAAGCCAAATCTGCATTTACCCCTATGTTCTAATTTAGCCATGACGACCAGGTTTTTTGACAAAACAGAAAACAAAACACAAACTTTATTGTAGATACCCTCAGAATCATTCAGCTCAAGTTTGGTAGAAATTGGTTCATTAGTTTCAGAGGAGAAGTGATGGCAAAATCTCACTGTTCCTTCGGGTGGGGGGGGAGGTTAATATAAAAATTCTTCATGTATATTTAAAAATTTATTTGTATTTCAAAAGGAAAGAAAGTTACTTATCTGCTTATAGCATGCCACATGAGTAGAACAAGGTCCCATTAGGCCATGCAAGACTGAATAACATTTAAGATCAATATAGGCAGTAACACATTTTTTCATATGAAAATGCATACACATAAGCTAGAGGAAATAAAAATGTGTTTCGTTTTTGTAATTTGTAGGCTAAGGTGACATCATACAAGAAGTATCAGTCATTCTCAAACTAAAATAAAATAATTTCATCCCCCTACTTACTTTTTATGCATAAAAAATATAAATATCTCATGTCACTGGTGAAGAGTTGTCACATTTGTGTGATATACCAAATATTCATATGAATATGTTTTTAGGTCATGTAGGTGTAATGGGGCAACCATTTCAATTTGATTTGTTAGTGGTGAAAAAGGGGGGGGGGATTTTTTAAGGAATTACCTTGCCTTGTAAGTGCTGAAAATAAATAACCTGGCATAAGATATGATAAAAGGATAAACGAAAATTTAAATAAAAATAAAAAAAATTGCTAATCCATAAAAAAATCCCAATCTCAATCAGTAAAATAAATTATTGTCTGTTTCCAAAGTCATATGGAAGTAGTCCAAATAATTATGACGCATTGCAAGGCTTTTTTTTCTCTCTGACGCCGTAGGAAGGAGAAGTGAGTTGACATATACATGTATGTTATCATGCAAAATCAACAGTAATGAGTATACCTTTTAGATTGTCATCGTCACTGCAAATGGATCAATAATACTAGGGGGAATAGAACCAATAAATTGATCGGATCCGATATGAAGTTCCCAGTAACGGAGAACTTCTAACTTTGAGGTAATATTATTAGTGTCGGTGGTCTTACAAATGAATCAGGGTGAATTGCAGGTACATTAATTAGCAGAGAAGAGACAATTATCAACTTGTTACTCATTATCTCGCAGTTATTTACGGTTAATTAGCTGTATATATCCCAAAACAGGTGCTCGGAGCTAGTACTAGTCTATGACTTTTAAGTAACAATTATATTTATATTCACAATCAGTGGCGGATCAAAGGGGGATGGGATCCGGGGGTTGGACCCCCCTTTTTGTGAACGATCAATGCATTTAATGGAGACATATATTTGGACTCCCTTTATC